ACGAGGCCGGAGGGATCCTGTGCCCGCCGCGACCGGCCCCCTCCGCCCTCGCCGAGGGGGCATGACGGGGCGAAAGTGCCGGGCCTGCCCACCCCGCGTGCAAAGCGCGACCGGCGGCTGAGGGGTTTGGGGGGGGGCCGGCGCCAGGACAGCCCCACCCTGAGGCTTTAACCCCTTCTCGCCGGAAGAGGAAGCCTCGCGCTATTGAGGGGGAGGGGCGGTGTCCCTGGCGCCAGTGCAGTCGCCGAGGCCCTGCGCGCAGCCCGAGCCCTCCCCCGGGACCCCGGCCTCGCAGAGGGAGTTTGGAGTCTCTTCCGCCTCAGAAGTTGCAGGAGGAGGTGCTTGGGACCAGGGATGAGTTGGAGGGGCACTGCCCGCTCTGGGGACGCGGCAGCCAGTGGCTCCGAGGCCTTTCTGCAGCCAAGACGGAGGTGGCGAGTGTGAGAGGCTCAGCGCCAGGGGCGGTGGCGAAGGAGTTAAAGGCTCGGGAAAAGGGGAAGATGACTCCATGGTGTGCGAGCTGAGGCTGCAGTAATGGCTGCGGCCGTGTCTCTCAGCCTGGCTGCACCTGCCGGTGGGGTTAGGGAAGGCCAGGGCAGGGCTGGGGTTGTCCAGGGACCTGGCCCCAGTCCCCACACTGGGGTTTCTGAGAATTGCAGAGTGGCCAGAGATTGGCCAGAAAGGCTGATGAGACAGGTCAGCAAAGAAGTGTGGCCGGCCAGCCTGGGGCCCCCTGCCTGCATTGTGGCCTTTATGACAGGCCCCAGGAAGGAGCAGAGCCTGAGGCAGGAGGGCCAGAGGCCCCTGTGGTCACGGGTGGACGTCCTTCCTCACGCGTTCTCTGCAGGTGGCCTCTGCCCACCCCTCTCCCCGTGGCCCCCGCCCCTCTGGGTACAGGTGCAGCGTCTCTGGCCCGTGCTGCCGTTGGGGCATGGTGGCTGGAGCCACTGGGCTCACGCCTCCCCAGGCTCTGGAGCCAGAGACAGTCGGTCAGACTTGGCGCTGGCCGGGGTGCTGGGCTCCTTGGCCAGCAGCACGGCGCCTGGGCCCTGGTCTGCAGGCTTCGGGGGCTTGGCTTCCAGGCATTTAGATTCCGGGTGTCTATGCAGTAGGCCGAGCACAGAAACAGTTGTGCTGCCCCTGGCTGAGCCTAGGTGTCCCCTCTGGTCCCCACGGAAGCTGTCCTGGTGGGCCCATTGCCTGTCAGCAGGGCCAACATCACAGCCAGACACAGGGATGCCACAATAGGTCAGAGACGGCGTCCCAGAGTCACGGACCCCACTGGCCCCTGCGTCACCTTTTCCATACACAACTTGCCCTTCAGCCTGTACAGCCTCAAAGTGCAAGCATGTGCCCCTTAAAGAGGCCTCCCCAAAAAGCCACTCCCTGCGCTGCAGTGGGGGCCAGGTCGGGCCCCTCCAGGTTCTCAGGCCCTCCGGGGCTCCCGCACTGCGCTGCGCCCACCCCGCATATGACCGGGGCAGAGCGTCTCAGGGACAGAAGGAGCCGGGACCCACCACTGACCGACCTCCATCTCCATTCTGGCGCCCTCGGCCTGGGTGTCTCAGCCTTTTCCCCATCCGGTTCTAGGCTACGCGAGGTCCGACCGGAAGTCCAAACCGAGTGGATGGGTCTAGCCTCCCGGCAGGCCGGTGCGAACCGGAGAAAAACTAGAGACTTTGCAATGCTTCCGAGAACCTAAAACTCTTGAATTCTGAAATACGGAATGCTAAGAAGTAGGAGAGGCTGTGCCTAAGGGACATGAGAGGGCCGTTTGCAAATATTTAAAAGTGTGGGAGGCTGTCCCGAGGGAGAACTCGTCTTGGGGTGCCCACAGGGGAGACGAAGGGACCGCGGTGAGATTTCCAGGAAGATGGACGTTTGACTCGTTGTAGGGGACTTAGGGAGAGTTGGAGCTGACCCAAGATGGAAGGGGCCAGAGCAGATTCAAGTCAGAAACAAGAGGTTGGACTAACTGACTTGAGGGTTTCAGCCGTGCCCTTTACCCGCGGGGGGCACCTTCCAGGACCCCCAGTGGATGCCTGAAACGGCGGACAGTACTGGGCCCTGGGCATGTTGTGTTTTTTCCATACCTACTGGCGATAGTTAAATTTATACATTAGACACAGTAAGGGATTAACAACAGTAACAAGTAACAAAAGAACAATCGTAACAGTACATTGTAACAAAAGTTATGTATCTTACTGCTCTGTACTTGCAGCGTAGAAACGCTGGACGAAGAAGGGGTGACTCACGTTCTGGGTGGGACGCAGCAGGATAGCGAGAGACTTCATCATGATTGGGCACATAATTGGAAACTTTTGAATTGTTTATTTCTGGAATTTTCCATTTAATATTTTTGGACCATGGTTGACTGCGGGTGACAAATTGGGAGGTGCAACCGTAGATTGGGGGGCTTCGGTGAGGAGCTCGTGAGTCTGGGGGGGTGCGAGCAGGGAAACGAGGTCCAGATTAGCTCAATGTGCAGCTGGATGCAGAGCTGGCCGGACATACTGGCGCCTTGCTGGGAGCCGGCTGATTTCGGCGTGTGGCTTGCCTGCCATCTCTTCAGGCACTCCCCTTTCCTCAGTGACTCCTGACTGTTCGGGACACTCGCACCCTTTTGCTGTCTGATAAAACTTTGAAGCTCTTCCCCAGACAGGGACACAGAGTGGCACGCGCGGGGCGTGCAGCCTCACGGGTGAGGAGTCTCCGAAGCCCGTGGGGGCCAGGCCTAGGGGCCCTCGCTCTGCTCTCAGGAGCTGGTCCTGGGCCCTCGGCCCTCAGGTCCAAGGGCCCGGTCAACAAGCTGGGTGAGTCCAGTGGACAGAAGAGAGTCAGGGTGCCCTCATCCAGGTGGGAACCAGGGGTCTTCGGCCAGGCTCCCGGGCTCAGAGGAAGAAGCCATCATCTACACGTCACTTGTGGTCAGGGCCCCGACCTTCTTATGTGACCTGGTAGAAGAAGGTGGCCCAGCAAAGGAACAGGCCCCGTCACTCTCAGGCTCAAGGTTGAGTCAGCCCCATCTCCTTCAGCCTGCGCCGGGGGGGCGAGCAGAAGGGTCCCAGGTGTGAGCCTGGAGATGACCTGATGAAAGCCTGTGGCTCCTTCAGAACCATCTAGAGATCTTAGAGGCAATTTAGAGGGGAGATGTGAAAATCACTAGAGTTTGAAAATGGGTCCTGGGCACCAGAATTGCTGCTGCCGCCACTGTAGACAGGATCCCTCTCCCCCGTGTCCCCCTCGAGCGGACACACGTAGCCGACGGGGAGTGCGGACTGTGGGGGACCCATCTTAACACACGGGGTGTAGTGTAAATAACCAAAACCACGGCGAGTCCGGAAAGCACTCGGGGTTCACTGCACTTTGGGGCGGCCGATTCCCTTTTCTCAAATCTTGACCTGTTTCCTGCCGTTTGAAGACCCCTGTGCTCCCCTCGAGACCCCTGGCTGTTCGGGTTTCCCGGGCGACTGGTATCCTTCTCCATTAGGGACAAACGCACAGGAGGGGCTTCTGTGCCAACAGCAGATGGGGTGGACGGGACTGGGCAGGACAGGGGATGGGGGATAGAGACAGGGGGTGGGCCGGAGGACGGGGAGACCACAGGGGAGCTTTCCGAGGTCCAGGTGGGGCCTCTCCATCAGCAGATCTGCAGGTGTGGGGCGCACACCTGGTCGTCTATGGCCGGCTGAAAGCGAGGGAGGCCCCCAGGCCCTACATGACCCCGCGACCCCAGGGCTGCGCCCTGTGGCCTCCCCCAGCCCTGTGGTCCGTGCTGCTCCGAGAGCTGTGTCGGGTCTCATGGGGTTACGCCCCCTTTCCAACTCCGGTCTCCCCGCAGTCAGGGCAGTTCAACGAGGACATGATCCCCACCGTGGGCTTCAACATGAGGAAGATCGCCAAGGGCAACGTGACCATCAAGGTGGGCGCCAGCCCGGGCAGCCGCAGCCGTGACCCCGCACACGCCCGCGCACGGGGTGTGTGTGGCGTGTGTGCGTGCATGCACGTGCCTGTGCGTGAACGTGTGTGTGTGGTACGTGCACCTATGCGTGGCACGTGGACCGATGCGTGTGCATGTGGGAGTGGTGTGTGCATGCGTGTGTGCATTTGTGTGCGACCGTATGTGTACGTGTGGGGTGGCGTGTACCCATGTGTGTAGGGGGAGGGCGCCTGAGGTGTGTGTCCACGGGCAAGGAGAGGACACCGGGCAGGGAGCAGGGCAGTGGGGGGTGGGTAGGGGGTACTCGGGAGCCTGCCTGCGCCTGAGACCACCTCGCCCTCTTCGTGCTCAGCTCTGGGACATCGGGGGACAGCCCCGTTTCCGCAGCATGTGGGAGCGCTACTGCCGGGGAGTGAGCGCCATCGTGTAAGTTCCCGCCTCCAGCTTCCCCTGCCTGCCACCCGCAGTGGCCGCCACCCAGAGCTGGATTAGTCGTGATCCTGGTAAACGGGCAGCTGCCGTTCCTACCTGGTAACCGCCCTGGGAGCCCGCGGCCAGCCCAGGACCAGAGTCAGCCTCTGGGTCGGGGGTACAGATGGACCCGTGCTGTACCCCCAACCCAGAGTCACCAGTGGCCTGAGTTTTGTGCGGTTTAAATGGTTCATCCCCTTGCTTTAAAAAAAATAATTTCCCAGCACGTATATGCACAAACCAAAGATTGTTTCGTTTTCATGGTGTTTAGCCAGATTTTTAAAAAATAAATGAATGTATTTAAATTCATTTCAAGTAAACGTACCCTGATTTTTAAAAGATCTGATCGCGGGGAACCTGGGCCGTGCTCTGCTTTCCCACCCGACCATCCGAGGGTCACTGGGAGGGGCCGCAGGCCAATCCCGGACGCCGAGCTCCGCCACCCAAGTGCGGCTTCTCCAGAGGGGACTTTGGGGGACAGGATACTGAGGCCCTGGAAGGTCCTGCCAGAGGCGACCGGCCACGGTCAGCATGCCGCCCTCCCCTGCCTTCCCCAGGTACATGGTGGACGCGGCCGACCAGGAGAAGATCGAGGCCTCCAAGAACGAGCTTCACAACCTGCTGGACAAGCCCCAGCTGCAGGGGATCCCGGTCAGCGCCCTCTCCCACCCACCCCACCCCCGCGTGGGTGGGGCGGGGCAGGGGTCCAGCACCCAGCGACGGGACAGCAGCCGCAGCACCCCGGACCTGGTTTCTGTTCCCCTTCTCTGCAGGTCTTAGTCCTGGGTAACAAGCGAGACCTCCCGGGAGCACTGGACGAGAAGGAGCTCATCGAGAAGATGTGAGTTTGGAGACCTCTGTCCCTCCTCCGGCTCCCCGTGCCCGCCGGGCGAGGCAGCTCGCTGCTGCTCTCGGCGCTCACCACACGGTGGCAGCAGAGCCCACCTTTTGCGGGTCTCCCACGCCCCAAGTGCCCCCAGCCTGGCGGCTGACCCCTCCCTGGCTTCCCCCAGGAACCTGGCCGCCATCCAGGACCGGGAGATCTGCTGCTACTCCGTCTCCTGCAAAGAGAAAGACAACATCGGTGCGTGGGTCGGGGGCGGCGGGCGAGGCTCTCTGGGCGCATCTTCCCGAGGGTGGCTCCCAGAGGCTGCCACCCCCCCCCGAGGGCGCCGTGGTCCCCAGCAGGGTGTGCCACCCAGCCTGGGCGCCCACGGGCTGTGTGATCTGAGGCAGGTCGCCACCTGGGCCCTCGCGTCCCCACCTGTGACAGCCGGGGCTGCTCCAGCCCTGCGTCTCACGGCACCCGGACGCCCCCGCCAGCCGTCTGGGGCTGTTTGGGGCTGGACAGCTCAGGTGCTGGCTGCGGTCTGGGGACACCCGGGCCTAGGTCACTCCCCCAGGGGTTTCTCGCCCTCCCCAGGGGGCCCAGCCCTGAAAGCCCTGTCGCCTTCTGTCTCATCACCCTAGACATCACCCTACAGTGGCTTATTCAACACTCAAAGTCACGGCGAAGCTGAGACCGCAGCCCTGCCCCTCGGACCAGGGACCCTCCATCCAAACCTGAAGCCGAGCTCCCCGCCTACCCCGCCGTCCCCCCAAGCCCGCCCCTCGTCACTGGCGTGGGGAGGGGCCCTCTGGGGATCCCAGAGTCCTGTTCTGCTGAGGTTTGAACTCCTGTTTTTAT